ATGAGATGTCGATTAGGTATCTCTGGGTAACCCGGAATTTTTCCGGGCTCTGTAGTATAAACCTTATCCCTTTCCCGAACGGACGGGTGTTGGGTGGACGTCCAAGTTTCCCATTTAGAACTTCCAAGTGCCTCGTCCAGTCCGGGAGGCACTCTACTACTATAGGTGACTATAATAGTGATTATAATCACGAGACAATTTGCAACAACCTTAGAGTCTCACCCTATATCTTATTAGAATTGATGTAAAAGGAAGCAACTTCGGAATCGTTTAATAAATTTATGAAAATAATTGTAAATCACTTTAATTAAACACATAATGACAGTAGTATATGATATTTGTTATTTGTAATAAAAAAGGTTTAATTTTAATAATAATAATATGTTGTATTTACTTTTAAGATTATTAGTAAAATTTTACAAAAGTTATAAACAGAGACGCAAAGGATTATTATTAGTTTAGTTTTAGATATGAATGTGTGTATTAGTTGTATATTTCTTTTTTAATTATATATTAACTATATATTAAGAGGAACACTTCACTGTGTATCAAATCGCAGCAGTAAAGTATGTCGTCTTTTAACAGTAACTAAATTAAAAATAGATTGTGTACAAAACAGCATCCGTGTTAAAATTGAAAATACACTCCCGTCAATGGTGGTGTAACCATTAGCGGAAAAAAAACTACTATAGGTGGGTAGTGCGCCTTATCTTCCTCCTGTTGAGGTTGTGGCGCGTCAGCCGCATTGGACCTTGATACTGATGGCATCACTGCCAGTTGGGCGTAGCTGGTGGAGGACCTTTGACCGTCATCTTTAGGTAGGCCTGATGGGTTGGTAGTGGGCACTGAGAATGACGAATGTCCTGCGGTTGCAATGGTCGCATAGGTTATTGAGTCCCATCCGTAGGACTCCTCCTGCGGTCGGGTGGCTAATTATAGACCCTTTATCTCTCCGTGGCTGGAACTCCTTTGTCCTCCGATTCAGATGAGGACGATGATGATGAAGATGATGATATGGGTGAACCAACGCACTGCCTCTTCTCGAAGAGCGATGCGTCAGTCTCGGGTGGTGTATGACTATGTGCTGATTTTTTCGTCCCCTGCGGCAAGTGCGACGGTTCCCGTACACTCGTGCACTCAGGCACGATAGGCGTGAGCGCGGCGCTCGTTGCGGGCTCCTTGATTGACAATGTAGGTTTCCGCATAGGAATCTGGCTGAATGGCGCTATTCGTATCGCTAATCGCGCTATTATATGGCGGGGTTGGGTAGGTCCCTGGCCAATAGCGGACGTTCCAATACGCCCGGTCTGTCCTGAGGTTTCCTGACGCGCGGGGATGGGGGCTCCCCTTTCCCCTTATCCGTCATCTTGTTTACTACTAACTATTGTTAAAATTGTTTAGGTAATCTATCAATGTGTCTTGTCTATTATCCCTACCTAACTGCCGACGATTGACGAACGACGAGTGAGGTGAGGGTGGGAGAATGGCGATTGATCGCAACACTTAGACGCACTACCTACCCCTTTCACTACGAAAGTGTTGGAGGAAGTACTATGAGAGCACTTGCGCACGTGACTAACACACAAGGGCACGAACGCGCTTGAGTGCCAAGAATCTGCCTAAGGGCTGTGACCTCGACGCCTCTCGGAGTATGCAACTCAACGATTAGCGTAGTATGTCGTACCGGCGATACCACTGCTAATCCACAAGCAACGCACACATAGGAGATCCTTAAAGAATTGCCAATTTACCAGATTACTAATCCACTAGCGAGCAATACTCGAAAGAGAACCGCGCACCCCGCGCAGTTTAGCAATATTTTAACACCGATTTTCACCATTGCGCTCTTATATTTTTCCCCATATCTTTATTCATACAAAACATGGTTACACAATTTTTTACGTGGTAGACCCATGCTGCATCTATATTAGTAGTATAGTTGTAGAACGAATGGGTCGGCTCGACCAGGGAAGGACCACGCTCTCACAGAAAACCAGCGTAAAATAGCAGCTTACCGCTGCTGTGTTTCGTATGGTGAGTGTAGAGAACCGGAGACCCTTTTTACTGGCAAAGAGGCATTCCATCTTAATCCTCACGGGTAACAACGCATCTGCATCTTGAGTCTTTATTGAGGATAGATGTAGTTGTCTATGGGTCACAGTAACCACTTACCATCAGGTACACTGTATGCTCGTTTGTCACCCTATCCTATAAAAAAAATCATAAGAATCATACACAAAGCCTTAATATTAAATATCTAACACACAAAGTTAAAATAACAAACACTATTAATAAAGATGAATAACTTAATTTACACAACAGTTTAATTCACAATTTTACAAGTATTTTCACTACTAAATGACTTAATTTTTTCTTATATTAATCTATCAATATTTCACTATATTTAGCACAAATTTAAACACTTTTGACGCAGAGCTACTCTTTTTAGCATGCACAATAATTCTGAAACATTACATTCTTATTGTTGCGCGCCACTATTAATGTCTTGTACATGGCAACACTAGTTACACTAGCGCCCCTAGTGTCGAGTAAATGAAAGTATTGCGCGCCACTATTAATGTCTTGTACATGGCAACACTAGTTACACTAGCGCCCTCTAGTGTCGAGTAGCAGAACTAGGAGAGTCGAGATCCTTCCAGAAATTTCGGGACCGATATGTACTCGAACATTCTAGATGTCGCTACAGTAGAAGGTTCTGGAAACTATCTGAGGCCCTATATAAGTCCGGTATAGACCACGACCGGGGCAGTATTGAATTGGCGATACAAGAGCATACTTCGAAGCAAAATAACGGCGAACTGTGTTTTATTATTAGTGTGATTTTAGATTGTAATTAGTGTTGTGTAATTAAAGTGTCAATTTTGGTAATTCAATCGGCAGTTTTAATTGTCTCGAACCTCAAGCTCGTAACAATTGGTGTCAGAAGTGGGATCAAATATGCCGATTTTACCTAAAGACGACACCGAGGGTATCCATACCCGAAGTCAACGCCAACAGGAGACGGACCAGAGACGATTTGGTGGTGCAACGTCACAGACGTCGGCAGGCCAGTTGCCGACCACGGAGGCCGGCCCGTCAGCAGCTCCTGCATCTGCAGCACCTGACTTAGGATGATGATGCTGCAGGAACAGGCTCGCCGACAGGAAAAACAGGCCCGCCGACAGGACGAACAGGCTTGGCGGTTGGAAGAGCAGCTGCAACGCGGACAGGAGGAACAGGCCCGCCAACAGGAGGAACAGGGCCGTCGGTTGAAAGAGCAGCTTAAACGCGATAAGGAAGAGCAGATACTTCTCATGAAGGACCTTCACGCTACCTTCGGGAAAGAAATAAGTGAGCTGAAGGATAAGGTTGCTCAATATGACAACCGCCTGTCGGAAGCTGAAACCCGAATCGACCAAGTGTACAATCGGGTTGATAATGTGATGGCTGACGTGAAGAAAACGCTGAACGACCGCAAAATTGGGGATGGAGTTACAGCTCCCGTGGTAGCTACAACACCTTCGGTACGTGGATTCAAAGTGCCACCGTTCGACGGGACTTCTTCCTGGTCGGCCTACAAAATCCAGTTCGAGGCTGTCATGAAAGCGAACGGCTGGAATAAAAGTCAGGCCATGACTGCTCTCACCCTAGGCCTGCGCGACCAGGCCTTAACTGTTCTGGAAGCTCTCGGTATGGAAGTGACTTACGAGAAGCTCCTTGAGGCATTGGAGGCGAGATATGGCGATGCTCACCTGGAACACGTCTTTCGTGCGCAGCTCAAAGATCGCGTGCAACGCAGTAACGAAAACCAGCAGCAGTGGGCACTTGAGGTGGAGAAGCTGGTTCGAAAAGCGTACCAGTCTGTACCTGCGCTCATTGTAGGGAACCTGGTGCAGACATTCATCGACGGCATCCGCGACCTTGAAGTCAGAGCTGCTGTGAGGCTCAGGCACCACGAGACGCTTAAGGACGCCTTGGCCCATGCACTGGAGGTGGAAGCCGTGCGGCAGGATCATCGTTCCCACTGCGTCAGGGAGGTTGCAGCAGCTACAGTTCAGGACCCCAATAAGGGCTACAGCCCTAGGTGCTACGGCTGTGGGGAAAGGGGCCATCTTCGATCCAGCTGCCCTAAACGAACTGTAGAAAAGGAAGGTGATCGATATCGAGAGGGTAGTGTGGCTGACAGCACCGCCCAGCAGCAGCAGGGAAACTGGCGGGTGCTGGCTGATGTTAAAAGAGCCCCAAAGATTTCGATCTCACAAACCTGAGATGGAAACAGCCTGATCATCAAGGGCGAGGTCAACGGAAAGCCGTGTAAACTAACCATAGACACTGGAGCCTCTCGCACGGTTGTCAGTTCCCAACTTATAAATCAGTTTCTTGGGGACTCCGCATACAACCGCGAACGCATTAATTTGGTGACAGCCACCGGTCAGCGCATACCCGTCCGAGGAGAGAAGGAGATGGAGTTGAAGCTAGGCAACATGATCTACCTGCATAATGTCATCGTGGCTGATATAATGGACGACTGCATCCTGGGCCTAGACTTTATGAGGAAGAATTGTTGTGAGATCGACGTTAAGCAAGGTGTTTTGAAATGTGGACAAGAGGAACTTTTCGTGGAAGGGGCGTTACCAGGGAATGTGTACAGCCTTAAGAAGATTGTTCTTCCGCCGAGATCGGAAACAATTGTACCGGTTAGACTTCCACGGAATCCTTGGCAAACTCTTCGTTGTGTACTCGTGGAAAGGGTAAACAATGACCTTCCATAGAAAGTGGCTCGAACCTTGGTCAGAACCGCCGACATCTCAGGAGTACGTGTGCTGAACCTTTGTGATCAGGAACAGATTATAGAAAAAGGCACATTGGTTGGTACTAGTGAGGAAGTGGATTGGTTGCGTCGGTGCGAATGTCTATCAACCGGGACCCCCAGCAAGGATGGACAAACGAGAGTGACCACACTTTTAGAAGACTGTCGCAGCGTTCTTTCCCCGAATGAAATGTTCAAGGCGAAGAAGTTGTTACTCAAGTACGCCAATGTTTTCTCGTCAAACGAAGCTGACATTGGAAAGACTGGCTTAGTTCAACACAAAATAAACACAGGACAAGAATTGCCTATTCGTCAGCGGCCAAGAAGATTGCCTGTAGCACGTGAAAAGGAAGTGGAAACCATGATTGAGGGAATGGTGAAGGATGGTGTTATTGAACCTTCATCTAGTCCATGTTGTTCACCTGTGGTGCTGGTAAAGAAGAAGGACGGCAGCATGCGGTTTTGTGTTGACTACCGCCGCCTGAACGACGTTACAAAGAAGGACAGCTATCCCTTGCCAAGAATTGATGACACGCTGGACATGCTTACAGGCGTAAAGTGGTTTAGTACGCTGGATCTGAAGAGTGGCTACTGGCAGGTTGAAATTGACCCTAAGGACAAGGAGAAAACTGCATTCTCCACAGGAAAGGGTCTGTGGCAATTTAAAGTCATGCCGTTTGGATTGTGCAATGCTCCAGCAACGTTTGAAAGATTGATGGAGCTTGTACTTACCGGGCTAATTGGAGATGCCTGTCTCGTCTATTTGGATGACATCATCATCGTAGGCCGTACGTTTGAGGAACACCTTCAAAACCTGGAACGAGTGCTCATGAAGATCCAGAGTGCCAACCTCAAGTTGAGTCCAAAGAAGTGCTCACTATTCAAACGGCAAGTTAATTTTTTGGGGTATGTAGTGTCGGAAGAAGGTATCCGCACGGATCCAGAGAAAATTGCCGCTGTCAAGGAGTGGCCGGTTCCAAAAGACAAGACGCAGGTTAGAGCATTTTTGGGTTTGTGCTCTTATTATCGGCGATTTGTGAAGAACTTTGCAGATATAGCCAAACCTCTCCACAAGCTAACCGAGGAGAAGCGACATTTCTGCTGGGATGAAAGTTGCGATATTGCATTCCAGGAGCTCAAGAACCGTCTGTGCAAAACGCCTATTTTGGGGTACCCTGATGCGGGCAAGGAATTCATAGTTGACACAGACGCAAGTGATATAGGACTTGGCGGTGTGTTGTCTCAACGGAATGGTGATCAAGAGATTGTGATAGCGTACTTCAGCAAATCGTTGTCAAAGCCGGAAAGGAACTATTGTGTCACAAGACGGGAGTTGCTTGCTGTGGTAAAGTCCTTGCAGCATTTTAGCAAATATCTCCTGGGGCGGAAATTCCACTTACGAACTGACCATGCTGCACTGAAATGGCTATTGCAGTTCAAAAATCCGGAAGGACAAGTTGCGAGATGGATTGAACTACTACAGGAATACGACTTTGTGATCGAAAATCGCAGCGGGAAATCTCATGGCAATGCAGATGCATTGTCAAGAAGACCTTGCCCTGAAGATTGCAAGCATTGTACTAGGCAAGAGGGTAAGGAAGTGGTATCTGTGAGGATGCTCAGGACAGACCAGCTCAGCAATGAGTGGAAGGACAGCCTACAACATGCACAGCAGGAAGATTCGGATATTAAGCCGATTCTGGAATGGATGAAGGCCAGTGCTCCTAAGCCCAAGTGGAGCGACGTCTCAGCAATGAGTTCGACCACGAAAAGCTATTGGGCCCAATGGGACAGCTTGCTGATTCAGGATGGAGTCCTGTGCCGTAAATGAGAAAATGGTCGGGGAGACAGTTGTCATTTGCAAATGGTTGTCCCTAAGGCTAAAGTACCGGATGTTCTACAGCTGTACCATAGAGGTTGTTCAGGAGGCCACCTGGGAGTTAAACGAACTCTACTGAAAATCCGAGAACGGTTTTACTGGGTCCACTGTCGTGACGATGTCGAGGACTGGTGCCGCATATTTACAAGTTGTGCGGCTGTAAAGGGACCTCAAATTCGTAGTAGAGGCGCATTGAAATTGTACAATGTTGGTGCACCATGGGAGAGGATAGCCATTGACGTTGCGGGGCCGTTTCCGGAAAGTGAAAGTGGTAACAAGTATTTCGTGGTTGTGATGGATTACTTCACTAAGTGGCCAGAAGTGTTCGCCATTCCAAATCAAGAAGCTTCAACAATTGCAGATAAACTAGTTCATGAAGTCTTCTGTCGTTTTGGAGTACCTTTAGAGATTCACAGCGATCAAGGAAGGAATTTCGAGTCTCAAATATTCCAGGAAACTTGCAGAGTTATGGGTACTCATAAAACACGAACAACTTCTTACCACCCACAATCTGATGGAATGGTAGAAAGATTTAATCAGACATTGGAGAGGTACCTAGCAAAAGTTGTGGAAAAACGGCAACGAGACTGGGACAGGCACATACAACCGTTTTTGTTGTCATATCGAAGCGCTGTTCACGAAAGTACATCAGTGACACCAGCTTTCGCAAACTTTGGGAGAGAATTGCGGCTGCCTGCAGACCTGATCACCGGAATACCACCTGATGCCCCACGCAGTATAACCGATTATGCAAATGACTTGCGGAACAAAATGAATGACATTTATGAGCACGTCAGACAAACGGGCCAGCAAACGTCTGAGAAGATGAAAACACGGTATGACCGCAAAATGAACAACAAGGGGTTTGATGAAGGTTCACTAGTGTGGTTACACAATCCAGTTCGCAGCAAAGGGAAATCTCCTAAACTTCAAGCTAAATGGGACGGACCGTACCGGATTGTGACAAGGATCAATGATGTAACCTACCGGATACAGAAAGGTGCCAGAGATACTCCTAAGATTGTCCATGTGGATCGACTGGCGCGTTATTATGAGGCCAATAATGCTCGGGACGAGCATGTCTTAGGAGGGGGCAGTGTTGCGCACCACTATTAATGTCTTGTACATGGCAACACTAGTTACACTAGCGCCCCCTAGTGTCGAGTAAATGAAAGTATTGCGCGCCACTATTAATGTCTTGTACATGGCAACACTAGTTACACTAGCGCCCTCTAGTGTCGAGTAGCAGAACTAGGAGAGTCGAGATCCTTCCAGAAATTTCGGGACCGATATGTACTCGAACATTCTAGATGTCGCTACAGTAGAAGGTTCTGGAAACTATCTGAGGCCCTATATAAGACCGGTATAGACCACGACCGGGGCAGTATTGAATTGGCGATACAAGAGCATACTTCGAAGCGAAATAACGGCGAACTGTGTTTTATTATTAGTGTGATTTTAGATTGTAATTAGTGTTGTATAATTAAAGTGTCAATTTTGGTAATTCAATCGGCAGTTTTAATTGTCTCGAACCTCAAGCTCGTAACATTATTTTTTAAGACATTTGTAAAATTTTCATAAATTAAGAAAGTTTATTTACCGTATTTATTTTACATTATTTTGCGCTCGGATTGCATCTCAAACTACATGAACAACTAATATCAATACGACGTTAATCACATCAGTAGGAGGCTAGTGCGTTCCTTGTCCAAATTACATCTATCTCTGTTCATTATGAAACACTATTGTTTACATGTTTTCCTTATCGGTCATAATGTCTCTTATCTGTTATCACAAGAGCAAAATAATCATAAGTGCCAAAATATATTTTTATCCAAAATAAGTATCTATTTTATTATACTACTTTTATTCGTATTTTACTTTAATATTATTTATTTATGTATAATATTAAATTTTTGTTTGCCATATGTAATACATAAGGTGTAATATATTGTTAGTATCAGTATCAGCAAAGCAGGCGCTTTAAAAACATGTGTACAGTTCACACGCGGTAGAAGTGAAACCTTTAGAAAAGGAGACCGATATTTTTTTTTTATAGAATAGGGTGACAAACGAGCACACAGTCTACCTGATGGTAAGTGGTTGCTGTGGCCCATAGACATCTACATTTATCCTCGTTTGCGAATCAAAATATAGATGCGTTGTCACCCGTGAGGACTAGGATGGAATGCCTCATTTCCAGTAAAAAGGGCCTCCGGCCACCTGCACTCACCAAGCGAAACGCAGAGGTAAACCTCTACTTCACGCTGGTATTCTGTGAGGTCGTGGTACCACCCCGGTTCGAGCCGGCCCATCCGTGCGACAGCAAAAGCTGCCGCCTGGCTCTACCACTGTTAAATATATATATAATAGGAAACATTCATATTATACCGTAGCAAAGATCGTAATTGCGAGGAACTTCATTGGTTAAAAACATAATAGAATAAAAGTTTCTCGATAGAAAAAAATCACAAATATACCTCTTATTTTCATCGTGAACCGACTTTTTCTGGTCGTTGGTGTTTCTGTGCACCGCAACCGCGCCAAAAAGAGATCGTGATGTACACGTTATAGATAAATTAGTCAATAGGAGTATTTTTCTTAGAGTAGACTGTCCTTAAAATATTCAGGTAAATATCTCGCGATTATATACTAGTCTGCTAAACGTAACTATGGTAAATATGCCTTCTCCGAATCTATGGCGAGGCCTTTGTTTAGTATTTATGTAGTAATTTCCATTCTATATATGTTTTAATAAGATAATAATATCTTCTCCGGCCAGAGAATCTCATTTAGAAACTTATTCGAATATTACATGTTACAAACGAAGTTTTATTTTCTTAACATCTAATGAATAAATATTACATCTTATTTTATTTTATTTTTAAATCTCGGAAACCGTATCAAAATAATTATAGTGCTTACAGACTTTTCTTTTATATTCAAAATGCGCTTATTCAATTACATTACAATGTTTTGCGAGTGTTTTTTGGTGCTATTAATATGGGTATTATTGTTATTATATAAGATGAAGACGAACCTCATGACTTCAAAATCCTACAAGAATTTTACTTCATAAAAGAACAGATTATAATTATAGTTCAAGGTTCTACTGATCAGACCTGTGCGAGTTTTTGAATTTTGGGCCAGGCCAAATCGGTCAATTTACACCGGAGATTGCAGGCGGTGCTTATACATTTTTCTTTAAAGTTGGCGGTGTATTCAGGCGTGTTCCAAGGCACCGCACCGGCCCCGAAAGCACGTGAAGCCGTTGGTCCTGTGTTTTATCCTTCTTCGGCAACATGTCATCAGAGCAATCAATGAAATCCGAAAGAACTCTTCAAATGACAGATTATTTAATCAACTTTGTTGTACTAAAGATGAAGATTTCAACCGATTGATCTTTCACACAGAAGTGCGTTGAAATTTTCTATAAAAAGAAAAAGGTTTTGTCTGAATTGATTTTATAATCTGTTTGACTCTGTCGTAGAGTTCTTGGAAAAAAAAGACACAGAATTGCACGACAACCTCTTCACATCAAAGAATGATATCGCATACCTAACAGACCTGCTTAATGAAATGAATCCACAACTTCAAGACGATGACTTGAAATTAATAAAAACAAAAAAATGTCTTCCCTGCTTTCGTAGCCAAGCTGTTAGAACACAAGAAGAATATCGGCAGACATAAGTTTCATAATTTTCCCAATGTATCAGTATCCTGCAACAACGACGACTTGCTTGTCTACTGCCAACATTTGGTAAATCTCCACAGTGATTTCATTGAAAGATTCCAGGACATTTTGAAATTGGAAATATCAGACTGGGTGTTAGATTCTTTTTCAAATGTCAACATAGCAGTATCACCCCAACTGGATGAAGAACTTATAGAACTGACAACGAACGAGGAAATAAAAATCAAATTCAAAAATGGCTACCAATAATTTTGGCTACAAAAGTAGTTTTGGTACAAAAGGTTGTATCTTGGATTTTGGTTGATCATTCAATGAGTTTTGATAGCATTTCCATCGTCATATTTGTATGAACGTGGATTTAGCGCTGTGATAACGCTGCTTACTAAAAAAATAAATCGTTTGCAAGTTACTGAACGCGGCGAAGTACCACTGTTTTGAGTAAAATCGAATCTGATATCAACAACTTGTTAAAAATCATCAAATACATCCATCTCATTAAATTAAATTTAAAACTAAAATTGATTACCTATCTATATTGTTTCTTTTAATTTGATTAAAATATATTCTTAACTAGCTGGTACCCAGCGCGTTGCTGCCACAGAAGAAATAATTGTGAAAATATTATTATAAAGGAGACGGTCCAAAATTGTATGAAGCGTAGGCCTAGTTTATGTACTAGTATGGAAATAAGTTAAAATGAAATATTAAACCACTTTTGATCATTCAAATTCACGAATTTGCCTTAATTTCAGTGCAATTAATATTTATTCTCACCAAAAACTGCAACACTAATGGCGAATTGAAGTCGTTTTGATTTGACGTTAGCTGTCATCTCTGATATCACCTATAGCCATAGATTAATGATAAGACATCGCGCGGTCAGAGCGCAAATGTAAAAGTACTACCTAATTCCAGACAAGAAGATTGTTGAGATAAATCAACGGTGTCTACACACAAAATTATATCATTGCATTCATTAGTGTACTAATGCACACTTCAGTGCCTGGGGCATCCAGGACATTTTTGTTTTACATGGGGAAATGGAGCCTAAGTATTTTGTTAGCTTTTACAAAAATTATGTGCTAGATAGCTCAAAGCCGAGATTATATGTGAATAGCGGGTAACTCCGTTTCTCTACCCTAAAAAATTCACCCTGAGATACTACTTTATTGCACTAATAATTAAGAATATATTTAACTCATTTTACTTTAGAGTGGCTGTTTTAAGGTGGATAAACAGAATAATCTTGAATACTAAT